CCTAAGGTCATTGCGTGACCTTTAGGGGTGAAATCGGTTGTGGGAATGTAGCTCCAGGTCATGACGAGTCGTATGGGGACATACTCAGCGCTCTAGCTCCACTGGGTGGACTTCAATCTGTTGTGCAAAGTTGGGACTTGGGAGTCGTGAGTCGTGACCTTTGTTGACCTCTACAGGTCAAACAGCTTGTAGCGACGCCGAATTGTTTTGACCATGTATTGCAGAGATCTGTTGTGCGCGAGCTTCAAGTGGATCCGAGGCGTGCCGAAGCTGAGCTGAATCTTGTCCCGGGCTGTCTTGACGGACATTATAGGTAGATTTTCCATCTACTTCGGCGTGCGAGCAACGCGTCTTTGCACTTTTTACTATCTCATGGTCGTTAGGGAGTCATGGCGCGCACTGATGCCTGAATCATTAACCATCGTACGATTGTTCCATTGTGCCACCTCTCTTTCATGCGAGACGTTAAAAACGCGTCTGTCATGTGCTAAGCTCCGTCACGTATCTCGGCTTTGACATTCCCAGCGGCATCTCGACCGTGACGGGGCATGTTGGGGCCACTTCAACTCACGGCCGTCGGAGGGCAGCGCGGGCCGTAGGCGATGGCCAACGCTGAATAGCGCGTCCCGGCTAAAGCATTGTAGCATTGCAGCAGCATTGCAACAGTATGCTGCGAACGATACGAAGTGCCTTTTTTACCCGTTTTTTGTCCCTCTTTCAGAGATGCCCATTCCCGAGCACTCGCGCTTAGCCCGAGCGGGGCTGGGGGGGGGGGGTAAATTTTACCCCCTCGCGATTTGTGCAATATCTCAAAAACGGTGGCGCGCAGCGCCGCCAAACTTTCAGTACCTTTTCTTACATCAATTTGACACGTTCCCTGAAAATTTGAGCGAAATCATTCGGAATTTTTTTTTTGAGAAAATGACGTTTTGGTGACGTCATGTTCGCCATTTTCGCCTCAAAAACGTGATTCTACTTTGTCTATCAAATTGCTATCTCGGTTTTTTGAAAATTTTTTATTTTGGCCCACAATTTTTCAAAAAACTGACTTTTTTGGGAAAATAATTAAAAAATCCAAAATTTTGCGTGTATCGAAAAAAACCGGAATATATGTCAGAGAAGTGGTTCGTGTGCACCTACATACCAATTTTTAGAAGAATCGGTTCAAAAATGTGGAAGTTATTCAAAATTTTATGACGTCACGGCAAACAAATTTTTTGAAAAATGAATTTTTTGGAAGTTTTAGACCTCTTACGGAAACAAAAATAGCACCATTCGATTCGCCGTGAAAAACTGCCTCAGATAGACACCTTGTTAGGCCTTAACAACCAACTTCAAAATTTGACCTCACTTGACCTGACTTTGACCTGACCTCGACCTGAAATTCATCCAGATGTGGTCCATATCACCTATTGAGTGTGCCTATTGAATTCTATGACTAAAATGACCCATAAAATATTTGTCGCACATGCCCTTTTCTATATTTTGTTTTTGGTGACCTGACCTGATCTACAGCACAAACTTCCTACTGACTGGCGCGTCTCTTAAATGCAGGGTTCCTTGTTCCTTCCTCTCTCACTTTCTCCACCATTTTCCTCCCCGGACGCAAAAGGAACCCAACCAGGTAAGTAAGTCAACCTGACCTGACCTGACCTTGACCTTGACCTCTGAATGATATTGTATGCAACGAATATTGTCTTCGTAGCCTAAGAACACGTTTTGGGCAATCAGTCTCCGTCCATTCTTCGGCAACTACGGTGCGAGGCCGATACTGATACTGTAGAAACTTGCAATTTGTACCCTTGACCTGACCTTGACCTTGATCTCAAACTTTAAATTAAGTACATTTTTTTAGTTTTTCGTGATGAGATCTTTCGATTGGCGTTTGAATTTTCCAAATCGGACCGTTAGTTCGGGAGATAACAGAGGGGGTAAAATTTACCCCCCCCCCCTCCCCAGCCCCGCGCGTTCGGCTGGAGACCCCAGCTCCGCGCGGGTTAAAGCGTAGACGGCGATTTCGCTCGGCGTTGTTGAAAAAAAAATGTCGCCCATCGATTCCACTTTTTAGCTATTTGCTGTATCCAATCGATAGGATACTGAATACCCCGAGTCCCGACTACTTGTTTTCGAGTCCGTCAAATTTCGTCAAAATTATTACAAAATTGTCACGAGCACCTTTACCTCGGTCATCTAATAGCGAAGGTTTTCATATTCATATTTAATATTCTGGTCATTACCAGAGGTTATCATAGGTCAAATTTTCTTTTATGGCAAAATAGGCTCAATAACGCTCAATAACCCGAAAATTGAACTGGTTCACCTCTTCGCTTTTTCTTTCTCTTTTGCTTTTGTCCTCAGATTTGACTCCAGGTCAACAGTTTGACCTTGTGCAGTATATCCATGTCAGTTAGAATAATAGATAATAAGTCTGAAGGGCTTCGCTCTTTTTCATATTCTCCACCCTGAGAGGGCAAGCCTAAAAAAGTCCTTCCCAGCCATGGCGCGCGGAAGTAGCTATGCTTGGGTTCGATGTTTTTTAATATTAGAATGTAATTGTAGCACCGTCCAACGCCATCCCAGATCCAGGCAAGGCACAAGTAACATAAACAGTGCTGCCAAGGCAGAAATTTCGCGAGGCTCATGCCGTGGGCCGAGGAAGATCGTACGGATCGTACTTTACCTCGTATGTATGTTAAACGTTGCCATGAAATTAAACTTGTGGGTAAACATGGGCTTTTGGGAAAATTGCACTCGCTGGATAATGTGATAATCGATTCATTATTAATGCGCTTACAAGTTACAAGGGAATGAGTGCGCTCTTATTCGTAGAGGGAATGAATACATGGAGTTTGGTAGTAAGTGCAACGGCAGCTGCGACGATAATAATCATTATACGATAACTAAGACGATAATGTCTTTTCGTCGCTATGATAGCGACGCACTGCATTGTTCTGCTAAGCAAAATATGCCTCTGATGTTGAAAATTTAATAGTCTATACGTAAAACCTAAGGGTGACTTCAGAGTCCGTGACAGGGGCTCGGCTCGCAGATACGAGTTACGCGAGGACGAATTTAAATGTTTGGTAGTTTATGTATGATCATAGACCACTATATACCACTATAGACCACTATATATAGGTATATAGTGGTCTATGGTATGTCATGTGTAACCTTCTGAACAATGCCGGGTTGCCGATACCGGCGGTATACTGTATCGATGGGGAGCTCGTAGGTCCGTTCACGGTTCACCTCACTGCTGTTGTACCGCCTCCGCTAGGGCCGCGATGTTATACCATAACTACTGTATCGATAGGGAGCTGGTCCGTCCCGTAGGGAGCTGGTCCGTCCGTTCACGGTTCACCTCTGTCCATTATTGTGCAGACCGCCTCCGCTGGGGCCGCGATGTTACACGTACTGTGTCGATAGGGAGCTAGTCCGTCCCGTAGGGAGCTGGTCCGTCCGTTCACGGTTCACCTCTCCACCGTGCCGGTGGATAGGTACCGCCTCCGGCAGGGCCGCGATCGATGCGAGACGTCCAGCCGACTGCGTGGGAGGAAATGTGCTTACCGGGGGAGGAGGCAAGCGAAGATCCGAGCTAGGCCGTAATAAGAGGCTCCGAGCGCTGGGCTAATTACCTACTGACCAGCGGCGTCTCCTTCCAGATTGGCTCGGAGGGAGGGGAGGGCTGAACGGATTAGGTGAACAGAACAGATTATATTTGTTTGTAGATTCGGCGGATAGAAATAAACTGGACTAACTGGTGTGTTCATCCTAGCCTGGTGACCAAATGTGCTGTCATCCTGAACTTGTTAGACTGAGAAAATGATGTGTAATTTGTATGGCAGTACGTATCTCTTGCATAGTCTAAGATGAGAGAGTACTCCGCAATTACCGAATCTGGTTTTGTTTTGTCTGAGACGGTTACTTCAATTGCACTATTATTTCAGACTTTTTTACCTTGAAGCTGTTATATTTCCGTTTCCCGTTACGGGTAATTCGCTCCGTTCCATATGTATGTAGGTATAGAAGGATGCTGACTTCTCCGCCAGAACTAGACGTCAAATAAACATGGTTGAATGACGGCGTACCTACTTAAAAGGAGTTGGATATTTGCTCATGACGTCCTGCTTCGTTCACTGTAAAAAGCCCGTAATGGTGGTTAAGTACTTATTATTTTATTATTGAAATATTAAAAGAGATAGAGCAAGATGTAACGGAGTTAAGATATTAAACGTCAACGGTAAATGGTGATGTGTCAAAGTACAGACAAATTCAAAGCAATCCGATACCATATCTATTTGATGAGCTTATGAGTTATGATTGAACTTAGATTCGCTTCACTGGGCTAACTTTCCCATTGATGGTCCCGTCATCGGCCGACTTTCCCATTCCCATGGGCTAACTAGCGGCAGCATATGCTAGTTTCCTCCCAGATAACTCTGGTTGCAACCTTATTTCATCTGCTGCGGCCTGGCGTTACCTGTTTCGTACCCAAGCCGGTTCCCATGTGCAGTCCATGGGTCTGCACGCAGTCCATGGGTCCGGGCTGGCCGGTCCGGCCGCGGCAGCTGTGGCCGCGGACTGGACGTGAGGCCGACCGAACCACTTTCACTCGGCCCCGCTCACACGGCCGCCAGGAGATAGACGGATGGCCACAATCACAGGGGAAAAGAGACGTCAGATGGCGATCAAGACGATACCGACGCTACTATTTTGTTTACTGCCAGGCGTCAGCACATCATGTGGGAAACTATTTATTCATGTTGGTACATTTTGAAGAAAAATCTGTTGATTTATTATAATTAGGGTATAGTATAGTGTGTGCTATGTCCGTTTAAATGTGTTAGCTCTGAACACGTTGGTACAGTACCTATATTCCTTAAGGCTCCCTCTTTATTGCATGACAGGCCAGCGAAAACTGCCACCATTACCGTACCGCTCTAGCCTACTGTTTCCCAGGTCCCTCAGTGATCTGACGACGTGTTTGCTCGCTGTTTCAGGGTCTGACGGCGTTTTTGGTGGCGTCCATATTCTCGGCCGTGCTGGGCATGTTCCAGTTTGGCTACAACACGGGCGTCATCAACGCACCGCAATTGGTACGTCGGCTCCATATACTCCCCCCCCCCAAATAGTGGCTAGTACCTACACAGTGTGTGCGTGTGTAACGTATAATGTATGCGTTGTTTGCTTTTTACATTTATATTTGTTGGTCGTCATCCGATGTCTAACATGACTTGTAATGTTTCGAAACGCTCATGCGACGGTCGCAGGCGCCCTGTGTGGATAGTGGTCGGTGGTGGCTCATTCGGTACACGGGACCTGACTGAGCGCCTCAGACTAATGGCGAGGGGAGGTGGCAGGGCGACATGTGTTATCGCGGGTTACCGGGGAAATCACCCCCAACCAACCACACCCCTCCGCTAAATCATACTGCAAATTGCACCGACCCCTCAGCCCCTGATCGGTACAGTGTTGTAAGCGATGGCCCTAACCCAGCCAGCAATCCCACTCCGTTCCCGATCGGGATTTTCGGACTCAGCCCGCACCACCCCGATCGGGACCGGAGTGGGACAGGATTGGGAAATGAGACACTTTGTACGGGCTGGAACGGTCCGGATATCCCAACCTACCCCGCACGGTCGGTTGGGAGATCCCGCACGTATCCGGACCGCCTTATGACATTTTAACAAGCGCTTAACTCCGATCCCGATCCGGATTCCCCAAATCTCCCCGCACAACCGGTTCGGAAATCCCGCACGCATCCGAACCGCCTTATGGCATTTTAACAAGCGATGAACTCCGATCCCGATCGGGATGTCCCAACTCGGCCCGCACGGCCGGTTCGGGAATACCGCAGGTATCTGACATATTAGCCGCAGTCTTATAACCGCAGATTGCTGTTATGCAGATGCGACCACTTTGCTTGCGCCACCGCAACCCCCTCGCCTCTTCATTATTCTCCAATTCAACCTTTATAATGCCTGCACGACAAAATGAATTACATTGGACACTGAAATATATTCACAAATTTACTGGTTGCACACAGGTCAATTTTTTACAAATTCACAGCCTGGCCAGCACATTCGTGGCGTCGGCCAACATCTTAGCGCCGCTGCAAGGCGCTGGCACAGCGGACTCACTTCCGGTGTTCACAGTCATTATAGCAGGCCTGCGCCTTGTTCGTGTCGGCTCCTCTGCGGACAGTGTGTCCGTGTGCCGTCACGGGCTTCAGAGAGCCACCGCGAAACTATGTAGACGGCTGGCATCTGGTCGGGCGGCTCACCACTGTGCGAAGAGAGCATCTGAAAATGACCAAGAGGTAATTAATCAAAGTCTGGGACACACTAAAAATCACTAAGAAATAACCCACATCTGACATTTCACATGGTATGCCTGGTAATTCAGGTTTCTAGCCTACAATGCAACCAACGACACTTGACAATGAGACCAAACATCTTCTGTCCGTGTCCATGATAACTGATCAAACATGCGACAGCACGAGTGTAATTCACATGCCGTACAACCACAACGAACATAAAATTTATATTACCTATAGCTTTCCCGCTCCCTACATCACGGATGAAGTGTGCACTATACTCACCCTGTTCTCAAAGACGGACTGATTTCCCTGCAACGACAACAGTTGAACCGACCGCTTGCTAGAGCCAGTTCAAAAGCAATATCCTAAGGCAGCAGCTCAAAGGAGGGATCGACACTTGACCAACGCGGCAGCTAGACTGGCCGCTGCGCTCAGAGGACGCGTCTACCTGCACGCGGCCCATCTGATTGCTTTTCCAGGCTTTCTGGGCCACCGGATATGGTGCCCGAAGCGCCCTCTCAGATCGGTTGGGATAACAACGTAAATCACAAGCCTGTCTAAACATGGGATTCGATTGGGCTATCCGTACCGCGTCCCAACCGATTAAGCATGTGGTCCGGAAATCCCGAGTCGCCCCTACCGCCGGCCATCGAGGTCCGGTATCGATTGGGACAACCCAAGCCTACCCAACCCGGTAGGGACAAGTCGGGACATCCGGAGCCTATCCCGACCGTCCCCAACCGCATCCCGGACGAATTGCTGGCTGGGAAACCATGCAATGGCGTTTTCAAACCCCGGACATTCATCGCTTCGCTGCACCCGCCGTCTGTGGCGCTGAAGGTCGGCCACAATGGGTTGCATTCACAATAGCATTCGCTGTATTTTGGTCCTGCCAACGAGCGTGATGTATGTGACCGGGGTCGGGAAATGGCCAGCTGGGCTCTTTACTGCTGCTAAATTGGCCCGACACTGAAACGCCAAACCGGAATCAGGCCTAAATGGAGAACTATAAATGCAAAATCGCACAGTCGGTTTAGCCTATTTGCAAGCATGAATGTACGTACTTGGGCTGCCACATTACCTTTCTCGCCGCTCTTTGACATCGATTATACCGGTGTGGATTGGTGAACGTTACATTGAGAAGTTCAGGCATATGCCTAATTTTCTCGTGTGCCATTCGTTTAACTGAACAACTGCTCGTCGTGATGGGCTTGTATGGCCTCGCTTTACGGACGATGGACGTGCTGTATGGTACTACTGTATGGTACTGCTGTATGGACGTCACGTGGCCGTTACATTTTGTATGGACCTGGACGTGTTGTATGGACATTTGACAATGGATATGCTGTGCCGTATGGACGCCCTGTAGACGTACTTTATTATAGACGCGCCGTATCAACTTTCTGGACGTGCTGTATGGGATCTGTATCGTCCCTCCGTCCCCCTGCCATGCTATTTGAGGTCTGTATCACCCCACCGTCACCCTGCCGCCGCTGCGTTTCCGCCAGAAAATCGAGGACTTCATCACCACGGTGTGGAAGGAGCGGTACGGGGAGGTCATCGACGAGTCGACGCTCGACCTCATCTGGTCGGTGGCCGTCTCCATCTTCGCCATCGGAGGCATGGCCGGCGGCTTCTCCGGAGGATACGTGGCCAACCGGCTCGGCAGGTCAGTCAGAGGGGTCACAGGTCGTGGGGTCATAGAGACAGTGGCAAGGTGATGGGTTAGACACTAAACGGTCACTCAGCTGGACTAGCGGCCACTGGGGCACCGGAAGGGCCACGGGGCTACAGAGACGGTCATGATGTCACAAGTGCCGTCATCGTGTCAGGAGAAGGTCACAGGGTCACTAATACTATCACGGCGATAGAGGAGCGGTCATGGTGCCAGAAGACAAAGACAGACGACGGTCATGGGGTCACAGAGACGGTCAGGGGTCACAGAAATGGTCAAGGGGCTAGAGGAGTAGTAATGAGGTCCCGATATGGTCACGGGGGCACAGGGACGGTCGCGGGGTCACAAGTGCAGTCATTGTGTCAGGAGACAGGGTCAGGAAGAGACATTTGGTCACTGATCATCCATTTGCTCCGAGGGCTGAGCCACGCGGCAATTGGGCGCGATTGGCACCTCAGGTGGGCGTCCAGACCGATCGATCGACCGACGTCCGACGCTGGTGTACCCTCCCGTCGCAATCACTTATGGCGCCGGATGTGTGTTGACTCTGAGGCCAGTGACGGCGCCCAGGACAGGACGCGGAAGTGTCCCCCGAGATTGGCCGCGCCGCCCTCGAGTGGCGCTCGTATTTCTCTATAAACCGCCCCGAAGAAGGTCAGGTCACGGTACCGGTCGGGCGCGGTCTGGATCCCGCTGTGTCACCGTGCGTCGCCAGTGCTCTCCGAGTAATGGTCATCGCCTCCCCTCCATCCCCGGACGAGAGGAGCGGGACACAGAGGGAATAACAGACCGCCTCTGAATGCGAGATGGCGCCGCGGGCCGTCAAAGGAGGGCCCGCGCACCTGGGCTATTAGCGATGAAAGCGCGCAGCGGAGCGGAGATTGGAGCGTCACTGCGGAGCTGCAGCTCGAGTGCTAAGCAAGCGAGTGCTGCTGGCGGTCGATGGCGAATTATGGTTATGATGGGAACTGTGGAAAGACCGCCAGTCGACCGAGAACGAGCTGACGAGTGGCGAGGAGTGTTTCAGTTTTGGGGAATGGCTGTGATGTTGTATGGCGGTGCTGCGGGATAACGTAAAAACAGCTCTATGTAGACTGACCCGAAAGTTTGTTTGAGGACACTAGCCATCGTTTAAGTCAAATGTTCAGAAACAAGGCTGAAAATTTTGAGTGAAAAATGGAGGTATGGTTTCCTGTATGTATATTATATTATGTAAGCCATCAATTCTGTCTGAAGTTTTCTTTATTCCCACGCTATTAACCCATTAGAGCCGAAAACTTTTTTTGTCGACTTTCACTGCGATTTTAACATATGTTTGTCAGGCACCCTTTTGGAGAATACATGTGCATTTTAGCCAGATCACGAAACCGGAAGTGTACGTTTCCGGTCTGGCAGCTTTTGCTGCCAAGCGTATCTTACATAGTCAAAAATGGAGTGATTTGTCACATTTCAAAGCACAAACATATCAAAACCGCGAGGAAATGATCTTTCGATACCAACAACCTTTGCCACAGAGTGTCTTGTTGGTGCATGTACAATTTTCACGAACTATTTTATTTACGTACCAGATATGATCTTGAATATGTGTAATTGTTCGGATTTCCATTCGACCGTAGCCTGCAAATAACGACCGTAGCCAATAATTCTCAAGAATAATGAACTCAAAATCGAGACCTCAGCTAACAGTTAAGCTCGTTCTGAGAGATCATGTCTTTCTCTCATTATTTCAGCTCACACGCGCTTCCCCTCCCCACAAAATCTTAAATAGGATGTGACGAAGGTTTTGATGACTTCCGTCGACCGTTTATTTAAAGCAACTTCGCGTGTTTCCAATGTGCTCCTAAATATCGCATTCCTTTCAACGAATTGTGTCCCTGAGTCTTTCTCTGAAGCGGATATTATCTGAAAAGCTGACCTTTACCAATGGGGGTCACTGGCATGGGTAATTGTTTAACCATTGAACGGCGCATTTACTGAACGTCTAAGCATGAAGGTTTAGCTTTACAGTTGAGAGGTTCGTAGTTGCGCTGTTGGCATGCTCCAAGCTAGCAAGTGGCAACACATGAAGGACGCTGCCTCACACTTCTAAGCCCCCGTTTTCACCAACAAGCGCTGGTGGAAGAAGTTTAGGGACAAGTAGCGTCGCGCATAAGCCCCAATCAGCATGGTCCTCCTGCGTCTCAACCGTCGCCAAGATCGTCATGAAGAAAGCACCTGGGAAGTCTGACCATTCTGCGGAGAATCTGAAGTCTTATTCATAATGATCACTCGGATAATGTTGTCCATTGATAAGGGAGGAACGCCCTTGGACTGAAGGCGCTTGACTATTGGTGCGGCCAAAATAACGAAAATCAGCAAGACCAGAGCCCTCAGATTTGCACGAAACGGAGAATCTGGCCGGTAGAAGAGTGGAAACGGAGTAGGTATGTAGAAGCGAGTCTAGTTCGGCGACGAGTCTCCGTTTCAATGGTTTCACCACACGGACCCCAAAACGAGCATGGGCTGAAAACGCGGCCCAAGTTCCGACAGACTTCTACGAAAAATTCTCGCCGCAATGGTATATCGAACGATCACGATGTCCTAGCAGGGCCTGAGCTGAACCAGCTGGACGTGATCTAGCAAAAGACGAAGTCGATCCCGACTACTACCTAGAAAACATACTGACTGAAAAAGCGTGCATTTGGCATTAAAAGACCACTACTCCGTGCTCCAACGGCGCATGGTGTCCCGCAGGTCGGACAGCATTTTCATGCTGGACGGTACTCCATCTCATCGGTCTTCCGGATCTAGGCGATGCCAGGACCATCTGTCCGATATCTTGGGGAAGGACACTTGGCTAGGGAACAGCTGGCCTAAATCCAATCGAATTATTTTGGTGGATAGTGCAGCAGGAGCTGGACATATACAAACTTTCCGGCGACCTCGGACAGCTCGGAAGGGCGCTCAAGTCCCAGGCGCCCCTTTTTAACATGGAGGACGTCCCTTTAAGCTTTATAGGCACCCCTCTTTCCCATGTAAGCGCCCATTTGGTCATCAACGGCGCCCCTATAGGTCTCAGAGGCGCCCCTCTTTCTTGTGCAGTGCGCTTCTTTTTCATATGCAATGCGCCCCTCTTTCGCATAAAGGTGCCCTATGGACATTACATGCACCCCTATAGACCTTACAGGTGTCCCTCTTTCTCGTAGAGGCGCCCCATTGGGCTTCATAGGCGCCCCTCTTCGGTATGCAGGCGCCCCTCTTTCGTGCAGATGCGCCATTATGGCCATGACCTTCGTAGGCGCCCTTTAGGCCTCAAAGGCGCCCCAATAGGCCTAGCAGGCGCCCCTCTTCCCGTTCATCTATGAGTCACGACACCACCTTCCCTTAGGCGACGGCGCGCCCTTGAGGGATGGCGCCTCTGATGACAGTTTGTCCGCACCACTCCGTTCAACGTCCCTGCTTCAGCAATGGCGGAACACATTACACGCCTGGTAGTGTGTTGGTATGCAATGCTCTGCAGACAAGAATAAATAGCAGAAACCCCGGTAATGACCATTTTTGGAAAGGCAAAGAACTGGGCGCATAACACTATGAGCCATAAAGCCAGACATTGTTGCTCACTTACGAATGGCATAGCAAAAAGGGACGTAACTGCTCCATTTTGACTACGTAAGATACGGTTGGCAGCTTTTGCTGCCACTTAAATATAACGCACGATTGGCGATACTTAGATAAATTCATGTCGCACCTAAGCTCTTCCCATTGATAACACACATTTCTTTACAATAATCAATAATGAAAGGTAACATTTATTCACACCACCTTCGCAACTGACTTCTTTGGTGTCCGCCGCACGGCCGCCATCGCGCGCCCCTTGCACCCCCGCGATAAATTGTTTATTTCTCAGCACATTCGCTTTCTCAATCAATAATTAGGAGCGCACATGACGTGCATTGTTTTGGTCTTCCGTTCGGGTGAGAACTTTGAAAGTTCACCGCAACGTTTAGGAATGCGGCGCTATTTTGTCCTGTGGCAGCAAAAGCTGCCAAGCGTATCTAATGGGCATTAGATAACCCATTAGATACGCTTGACGGCAAGATACACTTGATGGCAAGACATACACGGCATTAGATACACTTGATGGCAAGACATACACGGCATTAGATACACTTGATGGCAAGACGAGAAGCAAGCTTCACTTGCTTCTCGTCTTGCCATCTTTTGTGCTCTATATACCTTCTCTTTGACCGACAATGGAGCTTCATATCTCAAAACTAACTTGGATCGGTTCCAAGTTCCAGCCGATTTATTTCTTGCCGGCATCACTGTATCACTAATGCAGGAGGCAGCTTATGTAACCTGCTCGTGTCGACTCAGCCAGGCGGAGCAGAGGGGCGTCCCTGAACGGACGTGTTGTACGCCGTCCCTGAACGGACGGCGTCCCGGTGGTCTGTCAGTGGGGTCCGTAGGTACCTACTCTGCAGGTTGGCCGGGTGCTGCTCGGGGGCCGACGGCACGTTATATAACCGCCACAGGATCGTTCCGTCCGGGGGGGGGGGGGGGGACAGTGGCACACCGTCGCCGCTGCTCCTGCCTGCCGTCCGAACTGGCTTCCGATGGGTGATAGTTGTTCGGAGAGATCGGCCCGAGGCGCGCTCATGACTTGTGGCCGTCGACTGGGGTATCGGACGGGAGAAACCCGCCTCTCTATCTCTTTCAATTGCCTCTTCTCTTTCACACTCCATCTCGTCTCTGTTTTTTATATCTCTTCTTTATCTTCTCCTCTCTCTCTCTCGCTCTCTCTCTCTCTCTCTCTCTCTCTCTTCTCTCTCTCTCTCTCTCTTTCTCCCCCTCCCTCTCTCTCGCTCTCGCTTTCGCTCTCGCTCTTGCTCTCTCCTCTCTCTCCTCCCTCCCTCCCCCCTCCCTCCTCCCTCCCTCTCTCTCCTCTCTCTTCCCTCCCCCCTCTCTCCTCCCCTCCCCCCCTCCCTCCTCCCCTCCCCTCCCTCCCTCTTCCT